TGAGGGCAACGAATGCACAAATGTGCTTTACACAATTGATGTATGTATGGATTATGATAGTCCTATGAGCCCCTAATAAAACGATTAAAAAAAAGAAATTACAAAAAAAATGTATAAAAGAGGCTTTGATTCAGCTGCTATTTCCAAGTAGTTACAATTCCTTAGTAATTAACACCAAAAAACCAAAGTCACTGTCACCGAGTTGATGCTGACCCATAGTGACCCTAGAAGACGGGGTAGAACTGCCCTGCAGTTTCTGAGGCTTTAATGTTTTACGGGAGAAGAAATCCCTGTCTGTCTTCCATGGAGCGGCTGGTGGTTTCAAACTGCTGACCTTTGGGATCCCAACCCAACTTGTAACCATCACACCAGGTCTCCTAAAAATAATTAATAGTCACATTGAGTTTTGTTTCATGGCATTTCCATGGGTTATAGAGAACTAAAGAAGTTTTTGCAGTTGGCGAAAAACTTTCAGCCAGTAAGTGTGTAGGAAGGATACACAAATCTCAACAGGACCACAATGGAGAAGGATTGAGTATATCATTCACACCTTAGGCTGCAATTCTAAAGTTTTCTGTATAATGATGAGCAGAGCAGTCATTTACAACAAGCTATTCTGATGAAAGTCAATTAAGTGTCACCCCTTCTACCTATGAAATGTTCATATTTAGGATCTCCAAGCCTTCAAATTTAGTCCTATAATTATAAGGCTGGACAAATAGGCAAAAAGACAAGTTTCAGAATTTGGAAAGGTGTAGTAGTACTGTCTTTTCTCAAACACTACTAATTTACCACTAGTATCCACACCTGTTTACATCCCAGTCTTCTAAACAATCTGTTATGTAATATACAGATATGCTTTGTTTTAACAATTCTGGCCGTTAGAACTCAGAAAGAGCAAGTTAACAAAAATTTCCGAACAATTCCCTGCTAGATGAACTCTTGACCTTCTTATCCAAAACGAAGTAATCCAGTAGATTCAGAACACTTAGTATTCCTTACTATCCAAACAATCTCACAAATATTTAACACACACACACACACACACACACACACAACTAGACTGATTCAAGCAGAACTGCTTGAATTATATGCAAATAGTGACCTGTCACATCCACTTCATAAACTGAAAAATCAACAATTTGATGACATCAAGAAGGAAGATATGAATATCAAAGATCAAGAAAACTTGGCAACAAATGCATTTCTTTCTTTCCTTTTTTTTTATAACTACTTTTGCAAGATAAACTATTCTGTAACTTAGGCAATTCAAATCAATCATTAAGGATATTACAGAAATCATCAAGTTAACACAAAATTAGAAATATGTCAAAGCAATAGTCAACACAAGGAAAAAATAATCAACACATGGTTTGTTCAATCTAAGACCTTATGTTACAATTATAGAAGAAAATATTTTTTTGCATTAAATTTTGGGTTTTTTTATTTATCAAGGTAAACCAAATCAAATCCACTGCCACCAAGTTGAATCCATTTCATAGCAACCCTGTATTAGAAAACCCCTGGAAGCAATTCTATCCTGCTCTAAAAGGAGTGCCGTCAAGGTAAAGTCCCCTAAACTTCCCCCCAATTTTCAGTATATTGTACAGAATATCACAATTAATTAAAAAGTGTATAAAAACAGGGCAGTTGAACAGACTATATAATATTATTTAATAACCTGTAGAGAAAGCTGATGAACAATGGAAAAACTAACTTTAAAATATGCTAAGAACTCAGTACATTTTTGTAGACTAATCTTTAAAAAAAAAAACTGGTCAGTTGAAGTCACTATTGTTAATACTTATCTCCTCAAAAAATATGTACCTTTAAAAGTTTAGTCTTTGCATGAAAGCTTTATAGTGTCTCAGGGTGCTTAGAGAGCTGCCAGTTGTGATTGACAGCAGGGCTCATAAACTTTAATTACTAGTTCTTCCTTCCTCACTATACAATTAGTGACCCATCAGAATGACCACCACAAGAGATGGAAAGATTCTGTTATTAGCCATTATACCAAAAAGGGGTGTGTGTGTGTGTGTGTGTGTGTTCCTGTTTTTCTTGTTTTAGTCCTATTTATAAATGCTTTACATGTTAGTCCTGTAACCTGAAACAGTCCTTCCATATACGATAGATATTCACATGTATACGAAAGTTTTTAATTCAATGCAATATTAAAATTACTACTAAAGGTTAGTGTTTCCAACATTAAAATCAAAGCTCTAGCTTACCATGGGCAAAGGGCCATAAGGGATTGTAATTTAATACAAATATTTGACCATATATTCAAATAATCTTAATTTTTCCTTATTTTCTCACTCTTCTAGGAAAACTATGAGGTTGCTTTTATAAATCTCTCACTACAATCGACTCATAATCAATGAAAATGCAGGAATAACATAATAGCAAATATTACAGTAGTCAGCCTGTCCTGGTATTGTGATCCCTATAAAGCAGTGAGCATACATGGAGAAATCTTTCAGGCATTCCTCCTTCCTTTCCACTCTCCTCCCCCACACAGATGCAGCCATTTACCTGATTGGAGTGAGTCACAATTAATGTCCTCTGCTCTGGGAAATTATGGTAGATGTTGGATATGATTTGGACTGCCACATCAGTCTTTCCTGTACCAGGTGGGCCTACAACCTAATACAAACAAACACACAGTGAACCACTAAGTAAACACATTTTTAGAAAATGGAAAATTTTCAATAAAATAGCCAAAATTTAAAAAGTAACTGGATGAACTCAATAACATAATTAAAAGAATAGGGTATAAGTGTTCTTGATGATAGATCAATAGAAAGTATTTAACTTGGAACAGCAGACAGAAACATTATTAAAAGAAAATAAACAAGACTATTACAAATCCGTGAGACAGTAACAAATGGTAGTGAAGGGGAAAAAAACCAAAAAGCAATAAAAGGAGTAAAAAATGAATAAAATATAGGAGGGAAATGACCGGTTAGCTAATGGATTAAAATTCTCAAATATGGACCAAAAAAATCCTCCATGAACCTACGAATTGAAGCAGCTCAGTGAAGCCCAATCCAAACGCAGAAAAAGCATCATCAAATGGCATAAAACTAAAGCTAATAAATCTTGAGACAACCAGAGAAAAACAGCAAATTACATATCATGAAAGGATTTTCAAATGACCGAATTTGTCATCAGTAGAAACAGAAGCCAGAAGGAAGAGAAACAACATTTTAAAAGCACTAAAAGGAAAGAAATGCTAGCTCAGAAATCTACATCCAATGACATTATCTTTTAGGGATAAAGCTGAATTAGAGACTTTTTAGCGGAGGAAAGCAAACAGGCCTGTTCTAAAACAACTGAAAAACGAAGCTCTTCACTCAGAAAGAAACTGATCCCAGAGGAAACAAAACTTCAGTAGTGGAAATGAAGGAAGAACAAGAGAAACGCCAACGTAAATACGAGGATAGACTAGTCTTACCCTCCGCAGTTCTTAAGTTTGACAATTTTAAGTAAAAATTCTAACATTGCCTGATGGTGTCTTCAATGTACGAATATGTAATACAAAGACAATCACAGCATAAAAGAAGGTAATGCGACCTACATGGGGGTCAAGATTATTCATTCAATTTGAAGTGATAAAAAATGGACTTTAAATTGATTGTGAAAAGTAATTTCCCAGAGCAACCACTTGTAAAATAACTATACAAATAATAAGAAAGAAAGAAAAACAGAAGATAAATTAAAATGGAACACTAAGAGCTGTTTGTAGCAGGATGAAATTTCTTAATATGGCTCTGCTGCCCAAGTCTCAGGTCCTGGTGCTGTAGTGGTTATGCTTTGGGCTGCTAACCACAAGGACAGCAGTTTGAAACCAGCAACCAAGCCTCCTGAAAAAGAGGAGGCTTTCTATTCCTGTAAAGAGTTGCAGTCTCAGAAACCCACAGGACAGTTCTACCCTCTCCGTTAAGGTCATTCATTATGTGTCAGAATCAACTCAAGGGCAGTGAGACCCAAGTCTCTATAACTCCCACCAAATGCGTGGGTGGAACTATGCAAATAGGATATGTATAGCATTAAGAGTGTGGATTGGTCAGTTTTCAATATCACCTGCTGACTAAAAGGGGGGAGGTGGACTATCTTTGATGTGGCAACAGAAAAGAGAGAAACCCCAAGGGCCTTAGAAGGGCACTCCAAGATATGTCTGAAGTGGAGGCCACCAAGACCAGATGCATCACAGACTGTGACAGATACTCAGAGGAGCAGCACCACGAGACGATGGGGTATCTTCTCCTTATCTGGCCCAAGACTATAGTACGGTGAGGCAGAGTGACAGGCAAGCTGGCTTCTTGGCCCATGGAAGCAGAGGTCTAGGGACCAAATGGCTGAGAGACTAGGAACTGGAGAGTCTTGGCTACCACGTGGCTGAGAGACTTGAGTATCAGAGACTTGGCTGCTGGCTGTATCCTGTCTTAAGGTAACCTACTAACTTCCCTAGTAAAGCCTAATTGCAAGTATTGTCTGACAGTTCTATATGGCCATTGCAATGATATTTTTCAAACCCAGCAAAGATGTAGAATGGCATGGGGAAGAGGGAGTGGTGTTAGAACAGGTAGAGAAAGATGGAACATGGAAGCTTGTCTGACCCCTGCCTCATGGTAATAGGGAAGCTAGAGAAGAACAGATACAGTCCTTCATTGCCATTAATTGCATAGTTCAAATAACCCAAAAAATAAGGCAGGGAAGGAGAAACAGTAAAACACCAAAAAAAGGGTAGGTCAAAATCCAAATATATATAAAAATACATTAATTATCAATGGGCTCAATATTCCAAATAAAAGAACGCCTGTGAGAGTGGATAAAACAACATACTGTCTACAATAAACTCACTTCAAGTATAAGTGGGCTGGATGTAAACTGATGGAAACAGACCATTCAAGAAAATGATATTAAGCACTCAAGTAGAAGGCAAAAGTTTTGAGAATGATGATGGCAACAAATAAATGTACAAATGTGCTTGACACAATGGATGTATGTACGGATTGTGACAAGAATTGTACGAGCCCCCAATAAAATGATTTAAAAATAAAAATTTTTTAAAAAGGACAAAAAAGCAATCAACATAGGAAACTAATGAAGGGGGGAAAAAAAACCAAAAAACCAAAAAACCAAAAAATAGTGTGGCTACTTAATGTTAGGCAAAGCAAACTTTAATATGAGAAGATAAAAGGATCGATTCACCAAGAACACATAACACTCTTGAATGTGAATGCGCCTATCTACAAAGCTTTAAATGCATGAAACAAAAACCTGACAGAACTGAAAGAAATACATAAATCGCAATTATAGTTGCAGATATCAACACTTCTGTCTCGGTATTTAACTGAAATATTGGGTGGAAAATCACCCCATATAGAGAAGAACTAAGATTATCAACCAAATGGATCTAACTGACATTTAAAAAACATTCCATCACACAAAGCAGAATGTGCACATCAAACATTCACTGAGATCATATCCTTGATCCATAGGACAAATCATAAGGAATTTAAAAAACAGGAAATTAAATTTATCAAGCATGTTCTCTGTTCTTTAAAAGTAAAAATTCTAACATTGTCTCATGGTGTTTTCAATGGGCTTAGATTAGAAATTAGTAACGGGAAGAGGAAAACCTCCAAATACTTGAAAATTAAACAAAAAAAATTCTATTATCGGTCAACATACTTTTTCTGTAAAAAATAAGATAAATCTTACTGCCATCAAGTCAATTCCAACCACATCTATCTGATGGGACTGACTAAAATTGTCCCGGGGGTTTCTGAGGCCCCGCAGCTAGTTAGCAGCCCAACATACAAACCACACCACACCACCAGAGCTCCGGATAGTAAATATTTTAGGCTTTGTGGACCACACAATCTGTCGCAAGTCTTCAACTCTGCTATAAAAACAGATTTAGACAGTACAGGAACAAATGGATATGGCTGTGTTCCAGTACAACTATATTTGTGAAGACCGAAACAAGCAATTGAATTCCATCGAGTGGTGCGCTTCACTGGAACACACTCTGGCAACTGGGTGCTTACTTCTAGTCGTAATCAACTAAGAGCACGAAGAACAGTAACTCTCTTACCATGGTCAGCCCAGGCTGCATACCCGCACGGATAGCCTCTATCTGTGTATGAGTGAATTGAATTGTGTTCCTGCAAACGAAACAGTAGACAAAATGTTCGTTAAACGTACGGATGACACACAGCAGATATCTACATAACAAATGATCGAGGTCGAAACATCTACTCTGTGGGAGGAGGCTTCAAACATTTCAAGGAGAAGTAGAAGGTAAAGACACTAAGGTTTTTCTATGAACTCTCTGAAGCTCCTTCCTATGTATTTCAACGCAGTCCATCTCTTCTGGATGACCTCCCGCTTGCCCTCCATGAATAGTTATAACTGACTAAACCTTATGAAAAGGAAGATTATGGTTGTTTTTGAATACACATGACCCAGCCTTGACCTCATTTAGAGCGCCAAAGCTTTAGTTCCCAATCTACTGTCAAGTCTACGGTTATTTTATTAGGGATGGCACACACGTGTTGAGTGCTGCTGCTACACGTCACACAGGACCTTGAAGTGCTCAGATTAAAGAAGTTCTCTCATAGTTACTTCTCATAAGCCAAACAAACTCACTGCCATCCAGTCAATTCTCACTTGTAGTGACCCTGTTTCTCATAACTCACTGCCACCGAGTCGACTCAGACTCCCCGCAGCCTATAAAACAGACAGAACTGCCCCTGTAACACTTTCCCATGGAGCAGCTGGTGGTTTTAAACTGCTGATCTTGCGGTGAACAACCCAACTCACAACCCAGATTTCTCACAGTACCCTGAATATAGTTCTTTTCGAAATATCATGACCACAGAATGGCCACAAATGTCTGATGTACTCAGCTGGTTAACAAGATAGAAAAAAAAAAGAGGTTTACAGAAACAGAAGCCTCTTGAAGTTTTCAAAAAATTGAGAATTTTAAAAATATTACTAATCCATTTTAAAGAAACTCTCTCAGCACAGGCAGTACAATTACCGTTTGGGTTGGTTGTAGGGATATGGTCCTCTGTTAGGAATGACATGAGGTTCAACAACTAAGGTTTTTGCCTCTTCAGTGTCTTCATCTTCCCCATCTGTATCTTTCCTTTTTTTCCCTTTTCCACTTCTGACCGGAAACGTGATCCTGTAAGACCAAAATCCTTGTTCATTTTTGCCATTCACAGCAATCTCCTGAGCACCTACCTAGATACTGTGCATGACAATCTATGGAAGATAATCATGAGTGGGTCACAAAGCTGGCCTGAAAAACTTCCTTATCTGTACATAAACTCTTAAATAAAGCAGATTTACAAGCACTAAAACGAGTTCTGAAAAAATTTAAAAGATGGTTGAATCAGAAAAAGTAACCTGATTAAGGAAGGCCCAAAGGAGAAATAGTTACATCACATGCACTGTAAAGTGCTCTGCACAGTGCCGACTGTTTACTCACAAGAGGCATGGTGTCTCGTGAGAGAAGTATCATCTAAGATCAGCCTAGGAGAATGCAGACGTAACAAAGATGGGAACGGAATACACAGCGGGAAGAAAGAAGCAATAGAGGCTCCAGTACAGGTAGCCTAGTTTTTAGGGAATAAAAACCCCAAACCAAACCCACTGATTCTGAATACATTTTGACTAATGTTGACCATAAAGGACAGAGTGGAACTCTGCCCATAGGGTTTCCCAGGCTCTAAATCTTTATAGGAGCAAGCTGTCACATCTTCTTCCTAAGGAGTTTAACTACTATGTCACCAGGGCTCCATGAGTTGATGCTTAAAAAAAAATCCTTTTTTAAAGAGGGTATGCTAGAGTCTTGTTGTGACACACCTAGAATAGCAAGGCTTTAAGGCAGCGGTTCTCAACCTGTGGGTCGTGACCCCTTTGGGGGTCGAACAACACTTTCAGAGGGGTCGCCCAGTTCATAACAGTAATAAAATTCGTTATGAACTGCAATGAAAATAATTTTATGGTTGGGGGGTCACCACCATATGAGGAACTGTATTAAAGGGTCACGGCATTAGGAAGGTTGAGAACCACTGCTCTAAGCGCTGTGTTGTAATTGAGTGGCTCTGAAGACGTGAATGCGGGTAAGAGAAACACCTCATGAGCCCTTGATAGTTTATCAATTGGTATTTTGTCATATTTTGCCCTGTCCGACGTCTCCCTGCACCCATTTTTTGGTTGTCTATCCCCCAGGGAGGAGGTCACACATAGTTACTTGTAATCGGTTCCTTCTTTCCAACCCATTCTCCCTCTACCCTCCCAGTATCACTACTCACACCACTGGTCCTGTAGGGCTCATCCGCCCTGGAGTCCCTGTATTTTCAGTTCCTATCTGTACCAGTGTACATCCTCTGGTCTAGCCAGATTTGCAAGGTCGAATTCGAGTCATCATCATAGGGTCTGAGAGGTAGCAATCAGGAGCATTACATGAAAAGTTATGCTTTTCATGTATAATGTGACCCGATACATGGCAGAAGGGGTGAAAAGATTAAAAAGTAGAAAAATACAATGGAAGACTAAGTTTTGAAGGTAAAAATCACATTCTTTAAAATTATACATAATTACTATAAGGGGGCTTCAAAAAGTTCATGGAAAAATTCTCTTATCTTTGAATTCCATTTTTCCATGTATTCCTTTTTTGAAGTCTCCTTGTATTTCTGTTTAACAGCTCCCTGAAAACTGTATGTTTTAATTTCCAGCAGAGAAAGCCAGGTCTGGGCTACCACCATAGACGTACTGAGTGCTGTGCCATTAATGCACAGGAAGCAACTATTTGGGGTACTGTGTTCTAGTGCTACTCAAATTTTAAAACCAAGGCTCATTTGACATTAAATATAACTAAATTATTAATATTAAATTTTCCCTTTAAAAAGCTTGTTTTTATCACATGGTTATGTGTTCTAATTAAGGAATATACCATAAAACACAAGAACACATTTCTTCAGTCAATTGCTGTAAATATGTTCATGTATTACTTTTGAATCAACAAGTATTTACTGACCCGTCGGTAAGGCATGACACCATTTTTCTTGCGGTTTTAAATAACTGCTCCATCAGGAACTAGTCAAAATAAAGTCCAGATTCAGGACCTCAACCTTACTGAAGGCCTGGGACTGATGACAACATGATGAGTAGATGCAGCCTGGCTTTACCTGAAAGGCGGTATCTGCAGAGCTGGGTCGTCCACAGTAACTTTCACATTATGACCAGGAAAACTGGCCTTCAAATGTTCAATGGAGAGAAATGTGTCATTGAAATCCAGGGTGGCAAGCTGATTGGGCATTTTTGAATAATGTGCACTGCTTGGATCTCCATAACCTAAAATGATGTCATGCAGCCAGTCAGGTACCACACAGTCTGTGTTCATCAGGTTCCGAATGGTCTCCAGCACAGCCTGTCAACAGAAGGACAGAAGCGGTTTGTGTCGACGAGACAGCGCCAGCATTTGCACTTCACTGGAATGCAGGGCTGGCGGTACACTAATCCAGCCCCAGCATTCCTGATTGTTTCAGGGCAAGAAGCTCTTCCTGCTGACAGGTGCTTGGCTAGACTGAATCAACAGCTATATTTTCAGCTGACACCATACAATGAGTTAAACAAAAGACCAAACTTAGCACGGATAGTCTATCCATTAGAAGTTCATTTAGACAGAACGTCTTAAATGAGTTGACCAATGGACTGCTAGTGGGGAGGCTGGAGTTCCAACTAAGGCCAACATAACAGTAAGAAAATATCACGGAAAAAGCCTTTTCCATGCTTCTTCTGAGAAACCCCTAGAGCTTTTATATCCTTATGAGAGGCCCTTGAGAAGTTCATGGAAAAATTCCATTTTCCCCAAAAACTCTTGGAAGACTCCTTCTATATTCTATAATCCATCCATGCTAACACACACACACATACACAGAGCAGCACCTTAATGCATATTTTGAAATCAGAAATAAACACACAGTGAACAAAATGACAAAGATGAAGACAACGGAAAATAAATTTCAAACAATAGAATTAAAATAATATAGTAAATACATATATTGCCAAAAGTAATTCCCAAAGCCAAGGCAAATTCTTAGACTTCCCAATCACCATTTCTCCAGAGTGACCTATCTGTTCCACATATGGTAAGCAGGAGGCTAGGCTATTGATTTCAAACCATTTTTATAGCATAAATGCTTTACAATTCAATTTTCAAAAGTAAAATACTTTCCTGCACTTACGACTACTTGAAATACTCTTGTTCATGTACCTGGTGAGGTGTTTGTCATTTGTCTAATCGCCACTAGAGTAAAATTTTCATATGATCTAAAATGGCTTAAAAGCAGATGACTGAACGGCTGGATAAATGAGTATGTTGACAAAGCACTGATGGAAAAGATGAGGGGTGTCCCCTGTAAGGAAATTACAGCTCTTAGCGGTCAGAAAAGATATGTCTTTAAATCTAATACACAGCAACAGATTGTAGCAGATAGTAAGGAATATTACAAGACACAATGGGAACACAGGTGAAAGAGATGGATACCAATAAGCAAGAATTAGTACAGAACATAATCTGTACTACTTAGTTTAAAACTCAGTTCCTTTGTCCATGAGGTTTGGTTTCTTTGTTTTTTAATCATAGCAATGGATAAACAAGGTAATAAAGTGATGAGAACTATAATAAAAAGCAGTGATTTGGAGAGGAGAAAAAAGAAAGGCACTCCTTTGCAAAAGCCGAATGTTATAAAATGCTAAACCGTGCTCAATGGATAAATTTCATACTTTCAAATAATAATTTCTAAAACCTCCCCTCTATTAGCATCGCTTCCTCCCTCAAAGTCATCACAAAATTAAAACTCACTTGCTCTCAGATACACTTTCTCCCAACTAATGAGTAAAGTATAAAAACACCGTATCAGAGAGTAACCCAGAGCACTGAGGTTTCTCATCTTTATTCTTAAAAGGAATTTGGAAATAAGCCTCTATTTTTCACTTATTAAAGAAGACTCAGTAAGCAAGCAGGCAAGACATTTTCTTCATTTCATATTGGTTCACTAAGTAATATACAAAAAGCAAAAATGAGGACTGACTTTCAGAACAAAACCTGGATTCATTTACATTTGCCTTTAAACTGTTTAAAAAGATAGCTTTAGCAAATGAATTGCCTTAAGTTTGTGTATCTACTCTCTATGTTAAGATCTCAAGCGGAATACTTTGACTCATATAAAAGCAGTGGTTCTCAACAGGTGTTTCTCTTACCCGCATTCACGTCTTCAGAACCACTCAATTACAACACAGCGCTTACAGCAGTGGTTCTCAACCTTCCTAATGCCGTGACCCTTTAAAACAATTCCTCATGTTGTGGTGACCCCCCAACCATAAAATTACTTTCATTGCAGTTCATAACGAATTTTGTTACTGTTATGAACTGGGCGACCCCTCTGAAAGTGTTGTTTGACACCCAAAGGGGTCGCGACCCACAGGTGAAGAACCACTGGCTTAGAGTAATATAGACCAAATATTACCTTAAAGTTATTTTCCTTCGGTTTTCTTCTCATTATTACATTGAAAGTTTCATATACATCTTCTGCCCCATTTTGGATAGTATTGGTCATATCTTGCTGATACTGGTTTGGATCCAAAAATACTCTAAATGTCCTTGACTCTCCTCTAAGATTGGGTCTGGGTTCAGGTCCTGAACATTTTGAAAAAGGCTGTTAAAGAAGATACTTTCCAAATGTCACAGAACATGAGTATTCCTTTTCTACAAACTGTAATACCCTCTTTCCTCATCTATTTCAAATTCTAAATAGTGAGGTTCTTTGTCTCCATTCGGCAAATTCTTACTATTTCTTCCCTTCACAACCATGGGATATTTATTATGGCTGTTTTCAACTGTGATTTTTTGGCTTTACCCTCAATAGTAGTTCTTAGGAGCCAAAGACCCTATCTTTACTTGTGCCAATCATTCGTAGCTCCTACGTAGAGCAAGCACTCAATAAATATCACTCCTATTACGTGGCCTTAGCCTAGTCCGCTCATCTTGCATTTCTTTCCTAGTGCTAGTAAGAAGAGTGGCCCAACCATTAAATTCAGTAACAGTGCCATTTTCAAAGTATAGCTGGTAGAAGCTGATTAAAGTTTCAAGAGGAGTTTAGTGACTGAACTTTCAAATGACCACTGATCCTGGATGTTGTTATAATAAGAAGTATTACAGGGAGAATCAGGGTAACATAAGAGAGGATTTCAAAGGGACAATTAGTGATAAATATAAGAAATCAAAGCAAGGCGCAAGTAAGGGGAAACTATTAAGGAGTTTGATTAGCAATTTAAATATAGAATACAAAGTGGATGATCTGAAAGGTGAACCCCTCCACAATTTACAATAAAAATTTTTATTAAAACATTTAACAAGTGCTGTCCATAACATAAAATTAAAAATAGTCACAGAGCCGGCTAACTTTATCAAGACAATTTTAAACGGGGCCACGCTGGCATCTTTGTTCGGACCATTCCTCCTATCAGCCTGTACCGAGTATCACAGGATGTTCGGCACCCTTGGGCCCCACCCACCAAGTGCCAATTGCTCAACACTCCTCGGCCCACCACACCCATTGACAGCTTAAATATAGCACACATTCCCAAAAACAGGACAAGCTCCTTCCCAATCTGAGAGTCACCGCTGTAGTAAATCAACTCAGCACAACGTGAGAAGGAAGCATTAGCAAGTATACCCCAACTCGATAAAAGTTTGCACAATTATAAGCATTTGAAAGATTTTCTTCAGCAGTCTTAAACAATAAAAAATGGCTTGAACATAACTTCAAAAGGCACTGTCCTTTCTATTATCTAACATAGAAACTCTGAAGCCCTATTACTTATTTCTAAAGCTGGATCAGTAAATACCCCACATATATTTTATCCACAGCACTTTGTTTCTCTTTAGTATAAAAGTCAACTAAAAATATCACATAAGTAAAAATAGAAGACATTCTGAGAAACATAAATCACCATACCATCTTCAATGACACGTCCTTTATCATCCAGCATGCCCTGGATTTCACAGCCTCTGACATAAACCAGGCCAACCTGCTCAATAAAAGGTCTCTTCCGGTCGAACTTAGTGCCATAAGGTTTCGTGGGACGCACAGTAATTAAAAAGCATACATCGTGCTTACGAAGACCTGGCAAAACATACAAGATATTTACACTAATTAGAATTTTTTTTTTTTAATTTTCATCCTAATACCCTTGGCAACAGAAATAATACCTGCACTGTAACACTCTTATGGGCTTTCATATAATCGTTAATACTCAGTTTGAGAGTAAAACTTATTTTTTCTTTATTATTGAAATTAGAAGCTCTTATGCCATGAGAAGATACCTAAATAAGTCTTGAAAAGCATGCTATAACACTGACATTAAATGCTTTTCATTCTAAGTAACTAAAACTATGGTTGGAATATAACCATCCATATCATACGTCATATTTAGTAGGTTTCTATTCATCAGCATGATTCCAATGTCTGCCTAACTGTACATCACTAAAGAGTCCAGTCGAAAGTAACAAAGGACTGCTTACAGACATCATCTGTGGAATATAGTTTCAAATATTGAAGATGCTTGTAAGTGAGAGTCAACAAACAGGAGACTTGTGTCAAAGTTCCCAGCTTCTCAGTTGTTACACTCAGCAATTGATTCAACTTTTGAGAATCAGACCTCGCAGCATGTAACATCACACCATTTAGTTTCATCTGTCTGACCCATTTCCATGGACTATAGATATAAATGTACATTTAAACAATCATACCTTGCGTACAAGATAGAGAACTAAATCAAATTAGCAATGACGAACACTATAACAACCACTGTATAAGAGGGGGCCTCAAAAAGTTTGTGGGAAAATAAGTTTACCTTTTAATTGCAGTTTTTCCATGAACTTTTCAAAGCTCCTTCATGTTTGTGCTCATTTGGAGAAAGCTTCAAGTGGGGGTAAAGCTAGGGGGTAACTCTGAATCATACTATTGTCTTTCTTATTTCCCAGAAAATTCTATGCAAAAAAGAAAGAGCACGAAAGCCAATGAGGTAAGAGAAACAGCTGTTGAGCTGATTGGCTGGTTTCTCAGCTGCAGAACCGAACTCATCAGCGCTGAGAGCTGGTCCTGAGAAGTCCTTGAGTCCCGACCAATCACTGTAGGAGTCACGTTTTGGCAATACCAAAAAGACTTTCTTCCCTCTGCTTAAGTGATGATTTCAGGTGACACATCGTAATTAAAAAGGCCTGTATTACAATGTGCTCTTCTACTTTGCTCCTTCCAACCATCTGCAGTCACCTCATTCTAAATGGGCCTTGTGGAACAGAATTCCAGCATTTTGGTCTTAATTCTTAATTGGAGGTAAAACAAAAGGACTGAAGCTTCATTCTTTTATGAAGGGATAAGACTGTCCAAAACTACTGTTTTTATAATATTCACCACTATTTACAGAATCACTCTCTTATTTTGGATCATTCATTTTTGTTACTCCACCTGTGATCAATACAGGGCCAGAACTTGCACACTGGCTTTCCATAAAACATCTCTCTCCCCACCATGCTCCATCATAATCATACAGCTCACAACACCCTGTGGATCCCTATCCTGTCCACCTGTGGATCCCTATCCTGTCCACCAAAATATATCACGCTACTTCTCCTCCTGCCAGGGGACCTGTGTTTAAAAGAAAAGGGACAAAAAGAACAAAAACAGATGGCCCAGCAGCTTCCAAAGTTATAGAGGGGTTCGGTTCCGTTAGGATTTTACTCGCTGTCAGCTGTCAATTCCTTTAAGGGGTTGTGGTAGTCACCTAATCTGGTGTCAATTTAAGGATTAAGAGTGCAGGGGTAGAGTCTAGGCTGTCAATGTGGAGATAGCCAAAGACACTTCTGTGTGGGCCTGGCCTTCTGAGAATTCTAGGAAATCTGGTAATTCCTTCTTGGAGGCAGGAGCCACTATCTCTCTCGGTTTATTCCCTTGGAGACTCTCTACTGACAAGGCTGACTTCCTGTGAGGCACCCCGGAGGAGATGCCACGTGGAAGCAACCAGACCACGGAAGCTGGAGAAGCCACATAGAGACCCCTGCCAGCTCTGAGATGCTTACAATGCCACTGGATCCAAAGACTTTGTACCCACGGGCCTGTGATCATCTGCATTTGGCTTCATTGCATGTGTTTCATGAGGCTGAAGACAACTTTATGGATTGCTGTCAGACATATGCGCTAAAGTCAGATTTATGGACTTGATCTGGACTAGGCTGGGATGTTTTCTCAATGTTCAATTGCTCTTGTATATAAACCTCTCCCTTACACACATATGTGTGTCTATGATTTTGTTTCTCTAGTCCACCAGGACTAACACAGGAGTCTTCTGTTTTGAATTTATTTCCAACCAGTACTACCTCAGGGGATAGCAGATAATTATCTTAGCTTATTATCCACTGTGCGAAACAATGTTTATTTTAGTGCCTCCTTAAACTTCAAGAAATAACAAGCACAAGATCACCTCCAGCTCCTAATTTCTGGAGGCTCAAGAAGAATAAAAACCACACCTACTGGCGGGGAGTCACTTCCGACTCAGAGTGACCCTGTAAAATAAAATGGATCTGCCCCATGGCGTTTCCAAGGCTATCAATCTAACAGAAGGAGAGTGCTCTTATCTTTCTCCTGGGGAGTGGCTAATGCCCACTGCTGACCTTTCATGAGCGTGATCACTGAGCCACGTGGCACCAGGGCTCCCTCATCATGAAATAATAAAGGTACACCTTATTCTGGATGTGTGATTTATCAGACTGTAACTTTTTATGGGCGCCACAAGGACAATCTGTCACAAACTCAACCCCCCACAGTGACCACTTGTTGAGCATGTGGCCAGTTTGGTGGCTGGAGCCCTTCAGAATCCTATGAAGAATAGAGCCTCAGATCTGTATGGTCATAAACAACTTCATCAGGAGCAGTCATTTTAGAAAACTGATACACTGAGGGCCTATCCTTCTCCTTCTAGAATGCCAAGAAGGTGGAAAGAATGAAAACCTACCAGCGACTGTTTCTCACAGCAGGGCGGCAGCAAGAGCTCCCAGACAGCTGGGAGAAAAATATAAAAATGCTAACTAAGAATCCGTTCATGCACTGTTCAGGCACATGTGCGATCTGTATTTCGACTGATGCCCCGCGACAGCAGCTGTGGCTATGTCTGCGCCGAAGCAAAATTGTGGTACAGTCCTTGCCTCCATAAAGGCTGCTGGTGAAGAACAGTACTCCGCAGTGGTAGTTGACGCTTCAGGACACTGCAATGTGAGCTCTTCCATTCTCTAATTCCTTCCTCTGGCGCAAAGAAACCGCTCTTTCTTTCTGAGTTGTTTGACTGGACTCCCTTTCAAAGTTGTTCAATTTCAATATCTGCACCTTTATTTACCACAAATTGTGTATTTTCTTCACTTTGGCTGCTTTCATCATTTGAAAAGTGGCAATCTGCCTTACTCGCTTGGCATGTGCACATTATACGTTATTATTTTGGGGGATGTTGTGAATAGGGTGGCGCTTTTGAGTCACTTTCACTGCCCTTCTACTTTATCAAAAAATGATGTTCTTTTCTTGATAATATGTTCAAAGTATATGAGACAAAGTCTCACGAACTTGCTTCTAAGAAGCACCCTGGCTGTACTTCTTCAGAGATAGATTTGTTTATTCTCCTTCTTTCAGTGATCCTACAAATCCATAAATATTAATTTAAAAACATTTAAGACCCAAACTACTCCATCAGTTCTATAAAAGGAGTGTGGTGGTGTGGTGGGTTGCTTACCGGGCGGGTCCGCAGTTGGTCTGTGGAAGAGAAACAAGACGTTCTGCTCCTGTAAAGATGTCTAGCCTTGGAAGCCCCAGGGGCAGCTCTAGCCGGTCCTATAGGACAGGCTGAGAAGCAGTGACTCTATAGTAGTAGTTTGGGCTTGGGCTTATCAGCTCTGCCAGCTGAAGTTCTCAAAACACTGACGTGCATGACAGTTGTCCTTCTTATTCCAGCATTAAGGCATTTAATTACTCTTGTATGATCCTTGGTATTTTCAGTAGCAACAATTAGAAAAGCAATTGACATTTACACATAATATTTTAAGGATAAAATCTAATAAAAGTTTCAAAAGGTATGACATTTAGTAAAAGTGCTTTGCTGAGGCTCTAAGTGAAAGACTATTTAGAAGAAGGCAAGAGGTGATTTCACTCTTGAAATAGGAAATTACCTTCCCATTCGTCTTTGATGTGATCCCTGACATTCAGATTGATGGTAACATCGGCACGGACGCGCGTTGGCCAGTTTTCACCTATGTTTGGCTTGGCGACCTCAACGACGGTGAAAGCCACGATGGGCTGGGCCATTCTCGCCCAGCCACCAAACACGACACCGCCATACTCCGACTGCCTGAAAGCCGACAACACGGACATGAGACAGAAATAACACTCTCCATCTTCGCATGTGAACCGAGCCAGCAATAACACAGGCTTAGAGTATTTACACCTTAATGTTAGTAACATTTATTTCACATCTATTTCAGAACTTAAGAGGAAAAATCTAAGCCTCGATATATAGGGAGTATAGACAGCTCATGGTACAAAAAAGGAAGCCAATAGAGAGGAATAAAGTCCCTGCAAAAACGGTTAGACACAGTAAATGCAAGTTCATTCTGGAGGGGAATCCCTTTATCAAAGAAAGAAATAATACAGGACTATTAATAAGATGTTTAGGTTTCTATCCTTGTTTCTCTTTACCAATACAATTGCAACTGTTTGAATTTTTATCTTATTGTCATATATTTCTATAATCTGATTCAAAATACATCTGAAAATAAACGAAAACCAGCAAGCACCTTGATTTGGAGGCCAAGATGTAAGCTATGTAAAAGATGCTGTCATGGGTCGGAAGAAGAGAATCAAGCGAGCTAAGTAACCGACTCCGACCACCCCAGAGTCCTTTCTTCTCCTAGGTCACAGTTGAACCAGTGACACTGTTTTTACATCAAACAGTGCAAATGGAACATCCACATCAAAACACTTCAGCAACACTACAGAATTGGAAAGCAATATCAAAAGCAGCAAGTTTACAATGACTAAACAAAGAAAAGGAAATCACATTCTAAGGTAAAGGCTGTCTGTGTCACAATAAAACACTGGAAAAGTTACTATCACTGAAACGAAAGCCATGAAAACGAGGCAGCCTCGTTCTTTCATGCCTCATCGTTTTTAGCAGGTTCGAATGAGGGTCTATCAGGAACAAGGATTTTAAAGCTTTATTAAAATATGCGAGGGTTAACACCAAAAGTGTCATTTTCTCCACTCTACTGAAAAAGGTGTAACCAAAAAAAAAAAAATTTTTTTTTTTGTTTCATAACAGATTAGATGGAATTTTGGTTTTATTTAGCCGTTAAGTAAAATATAAGTGAGCTGTATTTGAATTGCTAGTTAATAAACCCCCAGTTTCTAAAATGGCCAAAATTAGGCTCAGAATCCAGACATATCAATGTAAGGTAACCATACACTTATGCAAGTTTTCTGATTAAGCACTCCCCAAACAAGGGGCAGTAATTTGAGCAGAACTGTGGGTAGGGATGCTCACCAGTGGTATACAAATTTCACACTGCTAGCCAGCCTACTGACTCAACTGATTATTAAGTCAAAAATACTTTCCCTTAAATGCTGTGTTTTAGAATCTCACCCGAAATAACTTTTCACATAATAATTAAAAAATAGAACTGTATATGAAATAAAATTTAGGAGAGAAAAATAGACCATAATCATAGTATCCATGTAGCTCTCTATAATTAGCAATGAGAAAAGCCTGGAAGATACCTGAGTCATTTCACATTCAAAACACAGTCAGTCTTTCAGAGAGAAGGCAGTATAATGGTTTATTTATGCACGGTGTGATAAAAAATCATTTCTAGAATAAAATGTATCGGTTGTAGTCACTCCTGATATATAGAAACTTATTTACATCAATTGATATTTAGTAATTTGGGAATGAAGAGCATTTGCCAACAAAAAGTCAAATTAGCTTTCTCCAATCTTGTAATGTCCAGAGGCCTACAAAAACTAATGAAGATGAAAGCTCCTTTTTGACTAAAGGAATGCTAGACATCGGCTAGCAGGTGGGGAGTCGAGATGAAGCAGTAATTCCTGAAATAAATGCATCGACTTAACTGGGCCCCCAAATAATTCCTGATGATATTGTCTCTTCAAGGAAATCTGTGACATCCACGTAATGCTCTTCATGTTCACCCTCACCGTCTGACAAGTCTTTTAGAAAGGTTGCAGGAACAGTTGGGGTGGTAGGAAACCCTTTTACTATAAGCTTCGCCCACTACTTAAACTGTCCTGCCCCATGCTGGTCGGCGGCAGGCCAACCCACGCCCCTCTTTCTCTCTCAATACTTTTCACAAACGTCCAATACTTTTGACACTGTCTCTTCCCACCCCTGCCCTGGCACAGTGACCGTCCTTCTTGGACTCCCAGGAATGCAGGCCCACCCCCAAACGGCTTATATTCACATTTCATATTGTAACACTTTTGATATTTTAATTCACGTGAAATCATTTGTCAAATGGCAGGTAGCTCGTATTGCAGAGGGCGACTTCATGTCAGGTGTGTTATCTCCAACACACTGAGGAGGTTGCTGAGAGAGTATGTCAGCCACTGTTTGCCATGTACTCACCAGGGCTTCATTCTGCTAACACTGTCCTCGATGTCCTGTCGAATTTCATAAGTAGACTCCAAGCGGAAGAGATTGAAGTTCCTGAGGAGGTAGTCATGAAGAGTCAAAAACTGCAAATTCAACTTGGGAAGAGCAAGACAGCCTGAAAATGAAAACAACATCCATATCTGAATCAGCATTTCAATCACACATCTGTTCTATTTATTTAAAAACTGGTACCACAAATTTGATAGGAATCTAATTTAATGATACCTGAACTACAGCATATAATGGGCCTTCAAAAGGTTCACAGAAAAATTCCATCGTTTAATTCTGCTTTTCCATGAAATTCTCAGAGCCCACTCCCATTTGATAATTATTAGCTTTATATTCACACAAAAACTAGAACACAACTTCTATTTTCACATAAAAATGTTCATTTTATGTGAAAAATTCTTACATTTTCACATAAAAATCCCAGGAATTAGGGGTAAGGATGAGTTTCATTAATAGATATAAAATCTATCTATCAATGACTCAGAAGCAAACTGTTTCTAAAATGTATTTAAAGGTATCCAAAGTTAATAAAATCTCAAATAGCTAAATTTTCTTTAATTACCTCATTTATATGACAAACCCTGAAGGAAGTACTTACTACAGCTTTAACCTAATCCATGAAAAATGTACCATAAAAACTGATTTAGCGCATTACAATGGATCCACTGACCTCCAATGATTACTACTGTACTCTTAGCCGATGCCTTCTGGCTAAATTTTAAGGACAAGGTATCAGTTATACATAAGCTACTATCCCTTTACTGACTATAGTAATGAACAATATTTTTCTTTATCCTCATTTAACACACTATTTCCCTGGGGTAATAACTGAACAAACATCACTAGCTATAGCAGATGATTAAAAAAAATAAAATAAAAAATAACCAAACTCAGAACATATCAGACTGGGAATCTTTTTTTTCATTACCCTTATCCATCTCGTCTGGAGTCAGAAGCAACAATGAACTTTGGGAAACTGAGAACCTGGATGAAAACGTAAGTGGCCTAATCACACTCCTGACCACAGGGTTTGGAAGACCCACTCAAGGGAAAGAAGACTTCCACAGAGAGAGAGAAAGATTTCTCTCCACAACTGCCCTCCTTTAAGATGCTGTCAAGTTATCTTTAAGGGTGATCACTGCTCAGCTGAAAGATGCCTATCTTAAAAGCAGTCCCTCTCCATTTCCCTACCACTAGGAGTCAGCTTCTCCTTGGTCCTGGGTTGCCCAGTACTTATAGTGAAGTGCAATGCACAGACTTCTCCAGGAAGCAGGTTCTTCACACATACCCTCGGTAAGAGGGTAGGTTCTCGCCTGGTTTCTCACACACACTGGTAAGAGGAAGAGGATGCTTATCTTTAATAGCATGTGTTCCTGCTCTGTTCACTACTCTTAAGGAGTAGTCGACTGGCACCACCTGACATCATGGTTCACTGGCCTACCACATTTCCTTTGAGGTGTTCTCTTAAAAGTGCATCAGGTATCTCAGATTCACTTTGCCCTATCTACTGTAGATGTGTCTAATGATGCCTTGCATGGCTCACCACTATATAAACTAGCTCTCCTACTCTTATCCCAACATCGAAGATGAGCCCCTGTACTTATTTATTTACATTTTTTTCTGTCCTATTTATTTTTCCTTAATCGCACACGTCCTTCTAAGGACCCATTCAATTGTGAGACTGGATCGCACAATATTCCTAAGAACAAGAACACCAATATACAAAACATTACATAATTTACCTGGGTAAATTCTGACTTATCACCTAACTCTCTTTTTGAGGCCTGAGGTTGATGGATCTAAGATAACAGATAAGGTTCCCCATGGACTTACATACACGTGTAAAAGTATACATACCCAAAAGCTATTAGTGTGCTACACTCAAATATGTAGAATAACCCAGAAATTATTCTGGATGCCTAACTAAACAGCTGGTTTAAGCACACCCATAGAGAATACCCAGAATAAGTTCTCTGGTGCTAAAAGAAGCAATTCTTGTTAAACGACTATCAAATTCTTCTCCAACTTACAAAAGTGAACTCAACGACATGCCTTCTAACAAAAGAAACACACGAATGAGTGCTCAGCTTGCGGCAACCGTGAAAAAAGGAATACATCACAAAATGACCGGGTTAATCATTGGGGACTAATTGTGATCGCTCTAGATGGCTTCCAACACAACTCAAGAACAGTTTCTTGAGCAGCCAAGAAAGCTTGGCATTATATGAAAAGGGTAACTCGGGCTACAGACATTTGATTTTATAGTGCTGAACAGAAATAGTGTCTTTCTTCTAGGTTGTAACACTTGAGGAATTACTCAGTCTTAGCATTTAGCACCAATGACCACTGAAAAAAAGAAAAATAAGAAGATATTTCTTGCCTCTAAATGA